CGGGGCGGGGCCTGGGCAGCGAGGGCAGCTTGGGACGCGGGCAGGGGGGCCTTGGCCCCGTGAATCCCGTCGCCGCCCTTCCCTCCCTCGCCCCCAACTCCGTACGGACCCCAGCCCAGCGCCCTCCCCTGTTCCTGCCACCACGCCCCTTCTGGCTCCCCCCAAGCAGTCTGGCTCCATCGCCCCGAATCCGGCGTGGCAAAATCCAGCTCCCCGGCCGCGCAGCCTGGCTTGGGTCTGCCTGGCCTCACTCTCCAGCCCGGGGGCTCTTGGGGCACCCGGCCGGCACGGAGGGCGGCGCCAGCCCTGACGTCCCACCTGTGCGTGGTGACGGAGCCCGGGGCCCTCTCCAGCCTCGGTATCCTCGGCCGGCAGTTACGGCAGAGAACAGGCCAGAGTCAGGGCTGCATGAGGCCTACAAGCACCTGTTCACTGTCCTTACATGTGAGCGAACATGAGATTAACATGGAGGAAACCGAGGCACGGGGGTCTCCACGCAGTGTGTACCCCTAACCCATCCCTGTGCAAGGCACAGGCTCTGCTAGGTCTCCTCCATGCCCAGGGCCACCCAGGGAGCCCCATCCTCCTACCCAGGTTTCCCAGACCCAGCGCGCGAACATCCACATCCGCTCATTTATTCACTCAACAGACACTGCCTGAGCCTGGCCGGGCGCTGAACGCTGTGACCCGGCAACGTGCAGGCAACACAAACTCTGTCCTCAAGGTCCCAGTCTGGGGTCAAAGAAGACGCGGGAACAGCAACACAAGACACGTCAAACGCAGTGCGGAGAAAAGGGGTGGCGGCGCCCCAGGGAGGCGCAGCCCAGCCGACCACGGGTTCATGGGGGTCGGGAGCCATGGAGGGTGGCGGAGGGCCGCAGGGAGGGAGCGATTCCATCCGTGTCTGCCATGGACAGCAGGGGGCAGGACGGAGTGGGAGGAGACCAGTGAGGGGATGGACAGTGCTGGAGGACACTGAGGCTTAGATCAGGACGGTGAAAGTGTGGATTCGGGACTCCTCCGCCCACACTGGGAAGTGAACCCAGGGCCTTGGCTCTGAGCGACATCCCCACCCGCTGTAAACTTTTCATTTTGAGACAGGATCTCGCTAAACCACAAAGTTGCCCAGACTGGGCTCCAACTTGCAACCCTCCTGCCTCAGCCTCCCAGAGTGCTGGGATCACAGGCTTGAAGTGCCAGGCTTTGGATCTGCTTTGCGCCCCGGGGGACACGTGAAGAACAGGGACAGGAGACGGCGCCTCCCCGCCCTGGGGCCCCAGGTAGGGTGCAAGCCACCCACGCCGCAGGCCGACACCACCGAATCTGGGCGGGGACACTTCTGCGCATGCGCAGAACACAGCCACAGGGGCCCCCGGACAACGCCACTGCCACTGCGCTGGCATCCCCAGCACCTGCACCTCCCACACCCACCTGGCCTCAGTTTCCCCATCTGCTGAGGAGGTTCAGGGGCTGCTGGTAGACTCGCCCTAGAAGGCTGGTCTCGGGCGCCCACTAGAGGGTGCCCTCCCACGCTCACACACCCTCCAGGGCTCGCCAGGGCCGGTTCTGCAAACCCACGCCGCTGCGTGGATGTCCTGGATCGGGTCTGGAGCCCCAGGCCGCTCTGTGACCTTGGCGGCTGCTGCCCTCTGCCATGCTAGGGGCTGTAACGGCGAAGCCCTCGGTCGGTGTACCGACCCCCACGCTACCTGAAGTCAGTCCAGACCGTCCGCCTGCCTCCAGGCTGTCCGTGCCTCTCCTGCCCCGCACCCCGTAGCTCAGCTCGCAATTCCGCCTTCCTCCTGCCGTGGCGTTCAAGGCCCCAGAAGGAGCCGTCGCCTCCGACCACTGAGATGCCCCCTGGCCCATGGAGCCTTGCGGCTGCTCAGCATTCATCCAGTGTGTGCATGTTAACACAATCGGGCGATCATTTGAGATGTGAGGCCACACCCCTGGCCGGGGGCCCCCGAAAACACACACCAGCCATGGATGTGAGTGGGATCTGGGACGTAGCAGAGCAGGGAGTCCTCCCTTCTGCAGGCCTGGTGCAGACTCCGCAGACAGAGAAGGGATGGAGCTGTGAGGCTGAGGGTGCAGCATGTGCAAAGGGTCTGAGGCCAGGCCCACCTGCACCTGGAGGGTCAGTCAGGGTTTACTGCTAGGATCTGAGAGCCTCATTCATACTAAAGTGTAAAGGGCTGGAACACAAGCCAAGTGAGAAGTGCATGCTACTTCCTCCGTTCAGGGCCAAGCCCCGAGGCAGGGACCTGCTTCCTTGCCTGACCCTGGCCGTGGGGCTCTGCTGCCCCCTGGTGGCGACGGGGGCGCCTGGTGACCTCTGCGCCAGCACCAAACTCTGCTTCCTTTTTCCCTTGATAAAACCCACTCAGCGGCTGGCAACCCGAGGTCTCTCCCGCTCTCGCTGTCCAGGCCTGGCAGAGGCCAAGCACTCCGGGCTGTGGCCTGACACTGCCAGGAGCCCTGGGCGACGCACCCTGAGGCTCCGGGCCCGCGTGTTCTCCTGCGGCTCCCAGGCCACGTCCCCGAGCGCCCCCACCCTCGGCCTGGGTGCTGCTCCACCTGCCCCCAGTCTCAGCAAACCCACCCCTGCCCCAGACACCTCCCCGTGCAGGCAGCCAAAGAGGCTGGAAAAACCTGCCCCAGGACGTTCACACCGGCTGGCACCAATCTTCCGCAGCCCACATGTCACCTTCCGGCCGGTCCCCACTGGAAAATGTCTCATTTATCCATCCCTGTGTTCACGGGTCACCTCTCCCTGGGGACTGAGAACCCCCCCAGAGACAGCTTTCTTCTTGCTCACATCTATGCTCTCCGCATCTGGCACCAATAGGCACCTACTAAGTGCTTGCTCTTTGCACGAGGGTATCTGCCTGTTGCCTGGCACCGACTGTGGGCTCCATATTGCTCTCTCTTCTCATTAAAAGCCAATGGAAACAGCTAAGCAGCTTATTCATACTAAAGTGTAAATGATTGCCAAACAAAACACACAAGGAAGCCACGATATTCCCTCGGGCACACAAGTGAACACTGTCCTGGAGGGTGGCACAAACCTTCCATAGGCCCCAGAACCTTTGAGCCTCAGTTTGGACAGCCGGGACAGGGGTTGGTCTCTGGGCCTGGCTGAGCATTCTGCTCCCGCCCAGGTCTCAGGAGCCTGGGAACCCCGCACCTGCCCGAGAGTCCTTGGGCCACAGCTCAAGTTCCACCTCGCCCAGCCACCTGTCGAGGTAGCACCCTGCCGAGGTAGCACCACGCCCGAGGGGCAGCAGGGCCGCGGGTGGGGTAAACTGAGGCCGTGAATCACTCACCTCCAGAGGTGCAGGCCCAGCGAGGGACTGCAGGGGCTGCAGGGGCTGCTGGGGCTGAGCAGCGCCGGGCTCTGGCTGCTCGGGGACAGACTGCGAAGAGAGAGGCGGCCGTGACCTGGCGGCGCCCGCGTGCGGCGCGATCCGGATCCGACCGCGGGGGCCCGGGAGGGCTCCCCGGAGGCGGCGCGCTGACGCGGGCAGGGCGACGTCGGGTCCTCCCGGGTCCCCACGCCCGCGGGCACTCACTCGAGGGTCAGGGCCGGGATGTGCAGCTTATCCCTGCGGGACTTCATGGCCAGGCTACGCTGCGTCTACACCGCTGGCTGCCGACGCCCTGCGGGAGGCCCGGGCCCCGGAGCGTGGCGCGATCAGCGGGCGGCGTCGGC